ATATATATATATATATATATATATATATATATATATTGATATATATATATATATAGTGGTGTGCATCGTCGTCGTTAAAAATCATTGGTCACCTCGGAGAGAAATCACGCTTGAACCAGTTAATACGAGCATTTTCCCAATTTTCGCCTGATAGCGGGACTTGGAGACCTTCGGTCGTCTCGAAAACCGACAAGCTGGAGCCAACGGTCAAAAGTACTAGTTCAAACCGCACAAGATAAGCGACATTGATTGCAGCTTGGTTGGCTTTCTGTAGGACGAATCCGGTGAATTGGTAACAAATGGTAAGTTTTGATCTTTTCTGTCGTCGAAATTATAGGCAGATCAATTTGGTCTTCAGACCTCTAGCTTTGGGAAAAAGTGAATAAAATAACGGGAGAAACCTGTTCGTTGGCATATTTTGAGTGGCAAATTGGGTTTTTTTTCCCTGTTCAGCCCCTCCAACTCATTTTGCGGAACTACGCCCCTGCTTACCACACACACAATAAGCTGATTGGCAAAGGCTTTGGGGTGAGGTCAGCTTGCAAACAAATCTACCCACTGAGCCCGCCTTCTCGGCATCAGTGTGCTGAACCTCGCGGTCGGTCGCATCAAAGAGAGGCCAAGCCAAATTTTGCTGAGTTTTTAGTTCATTTGTGCACAAAAGATGTATTTGCGGCATTTCTTTGCCTACATTTACTCTCGCAGCATTGTGATTCCGTAAGACAGCGGCCCCTCTGTGCGCCGAAATTTGTTTTCAGTCATACGCCGAACTCTGAGCGCTCGGATGTTCGGTGCAACATGCTCTGAAATGCTTGCCGTGATGTCACTGCCTACGTTGAACGAGTTTGGCGTAACGCGTTTTCTTATGTGTAAAGTGAGGCAAATGAAAGACTGCTTTCCCGCGGGGTTCAAGGAGACGACAGCAGTAGAATAGTGCTATGATGTGCCTTGATATTTTCATCTGTGGCGCAATGATTTCATTTTTCGGCGTGTTGTCTTTGACGCGCCCGCCCGCTGTTTCCGTCAGTGTCGTAGAATTGCCGACTCGGGGTGGGAGCCAGCGACATACGAGGAGGCATTTTTCACTCCTTTTCCCCATGTTTTTTTGAATTTTCCACTCCTGCCTGAAATTGTCTAACCACACATACTAAACCCATATGTTCCTCTCACGTTTTTAAGATATCATCAAAGTCCTAGCCTACTTGGAACCACTAAGCATACACGAGGCTCCACAGAACCTGGACACCTTTGGCCACATCCTGCCTCCACCTACGTCTTAATCATGTATGTATGCACAGAGCAAGGACAGTAGTTACCTCCAAGCCCAGGAGTTTCACCAACTCAAGTTGGTTGCACTTGATCTTGGTTTGTGTACAAAATACCATCAACCTGTGCAGCTGTGTGCCAATGCAAGGTTTCATGCATCCCTGATTTTTGGGGTCATACCATGCAAGCACCATGCAGGGCCTGGTGGAGAGTTTTACTGCACATAATCTTTTACTCAAAAAAGACTTGGCTACCAAATTGCACTGCTCCTGAAATGTGGGAGTGAAAAATTCAAGAAAAGACTTCTAAATGGAGCTTAAAGGCAAAATCTTACCACTTGAGCACTCCTTTTGACAGGTTTTTATTCAAGTGACTTGATAAAAAATTTGACTGAGCAACTCTAAGCCTTTTTGCTTATTCCCTCCTGCCATTTTTCTTGGTGTAGCATATAGGTGATACAAATACTTAAATCCTACCTTGTTGATGATTTAGTAGATGCAGTCTATAGCCCAAAATATAGGCAAATTTTGCTGAAAAATTCTTCAATTGCAGACTTGTACATATTTAATGCATATAGCAGATATATTTGCCAGCTGCCTAAACCATTTTGATATGCACCCAAGAGTGAATGATTCATAGCAAATGAAAGAGACAATTCAAAGGAATAAAATTAGGTATAGTGGAAATTATCCCTAATTAATTATCTGTTTTGATGTTTTTTGGGGTTCAAAGTGGGGCTCAGTAATGATAAATTGAAGCCAATCCAGGTTCAATGCCTCACTGTGTTAAATTATTTTGCAGCTGATCCTTTTGGACAGAACTGACATGGCCAATCCAGAAATGTTAACCAGCAATATTCTGCCCAGCAAAACTCTGTTCCCCTCATGAGTGTAGTGCAGAGGGTATCTTTACTATTTTGCATTTTGATGTTGTATGTTGGGTATGATGGACAATTATATTTTATGTTTGGGTTGGATGACCCTATTTGTGAGCAAGCCATGCAGAAGGTACTGACTTTATTTGAAAGAGCAGAAAGAAGCCTGCCCACCAGCAATTTTCTCCTGTAGGGCACCTAGTTGTGAACTTGACCCGCTTTCAAATAATTATTTGTAACCAGGTTTGCCCATTTTCTGTTTGATATTCATCAAAACCTTGTTTATGACACAATTATGATTCCACAAAGATATGTAATTAAGCTATTTTGTCCCATACTTGTAAACATTTGCCCTAAGTTTGTTGCAGTGGTCCCTTCATGCCTGTCTCAACAAGATGTTGTCCATTGTGGTGATAGTTTGCTGACTGGGCAAATGAGTGCTGTGGAATGAATAATATGTTTAACCAACAATACCCTAAGCTGCATAGCTATGATGATATAAGGTAGCTCTAGGTGTCCAGCAAATAGACCATCCCCTTTTTAATGCAAAGCCAACATTTCAAGCTTTCAATAATAAAGTATTAATAGCCAAGCTTAGCTACCTTTGCTGCAATTTAAAAGGCAAGTGGCAAAGCTGGTTCTGTGGCCATCCTGAAGTTACATTACAGTTGGAAGACACTGTCTTGTGGATCACACCTACTATTGCCCTTGACAGAGAGAAACCATGACAATCAGAATAAGTTATTAGAAGCAGTGTAAATAATTTATACATAGGCCTGTCCTCTCAGTTGGCTGCTAGGTTGTTGCTTTGACATCAACTTGCGGTGTCAACAAGCTGGCAGAAATAAATTGAACCAAAACACAAGGTGATACTAGCTGAAAACAAGCTGCATTGTGATTTTAACCACAAAGGCTGCTATCAAGAAATATATCAGATATGATAAGATGATGTTCAACATATGGGCTACTCTAAGTTTGGTTCAGTTGGTTACTTGCACAGAAAGAAACAGTAGAAATTTTACAGGATCAATGACTCACAAATGGGTGCTGTTATATCAATGGGCTAGTCAGGATGAGTTGAGGTAAAGCTTTGCTAGGTTAGGCTTAGTTACATTACTTTCATGGAAGTGATGGTAGGTACATAATTTTTGTGAGAACCAGTGACATAAGTTTTCTCATCCCATTCTAACAGAAGCCAAAAGTATATCAAAAGTACTTGTACAGTTTGGCAGTGTGTTTATGTGCATGAGTCCAAGACTCTTGTCTGAATATTTTATGCTGGTTGAATTTCATCACACATTCCTCAACTGCAAAGCCAAGCTCAAAGCAATATGTCAATAGCAAGCTTTTATGCCTTGACAAAAAATAGGAACACATTCAAGGTTTACTTTCAGGATGTGCTCCAACCAGCTGCAGATGTGGGGGGATATACAAGAAATGATGGAGCCAAAATACATTTTTTTCAGGAAAGTGCCTTGAGTGGCTTCACAGCAGTTTCCACATATGTGCCCTCCACAGTCATGCGTACTGCTGGTTTGTGGCAGTAAGTGCTGCCATCTACAAAAATTCATCACCGCTTATTCCACTTTTTACCGCTAGGTGGCAGAACTTATGGTGCGACACCGGTCGGCAGAGCTCAGGGTAGCACGCGACCTCGTCATCATTGCCATCCTTCCTCCAGATCCCTTTGGCCATGCGGGGCCGTGGACGCCCTCACCAAGTGATTAAGGACGGCGACCTGGTGCCCTGCAGCACCTGTGGCAAGCGGCTGACAAAGCATAACCTGCCAAGACACGCCAGATCCCAGCACCAGGTCGGCCCGAAAAAGCTTCGAGGTTTTGTGCAGAAATGTGTAAGAGCGGAGGCGAAGTCAGTTCGTCAGAAGAGGTATGAGGAGGGTGCGGTTAAGGACTTGTTGATATCACAGCCCGACAGCGGAGGACCCGACGGTCCGTCGACGTCGCGCGGTGTTGCGTCTGGGCATCTGGATGTAAGTGTGACTCCCGGAGGAGGCAAGGTGGTGGAGAGCATGCATGTGGAGGTGGAACAGGCTCGTGGTGTGCATGTGGATGGAAGTGTGGCTTCTGGAGGAGGCGAGGTGGTGGAGGGCATGCATGTGGAGGTGGAACAGGCTCGTGGTGTGCATGTGGATGGAAGTGTGGCTTCTGGAGGAGGCGAGGTGGTGGAGAGCAGGCACGCGGGGGTGGAGCGGGCTCGTGGTGTGCATGTGGATGAAAGTGTGGCTTCTGGAGGAGGCGAGGTGATGGAGGGCACGCATGTGGAGGTGGAGCAGGCTCGTGGTGTGCATGTGGATGGAAGCATGGCTTCTGGAGGAGGCAAGGTGGTGAAGAGTGAGCATGTGGAGGTGACGCTGGCTTGTGGCGTGCAGATGGGGGGAGGAGTGCCCGCTGTAGGAAGCAAGGTGGTGGATGAGAGCAGAGCCGTAGAAAATGTTGGGGCGGGGCAGACTGGAAATGCAGTTGTGGTAGGAGGCATGGACGTGCATGCGCTTGGAGGAATGCCGACTACGTTTGTTGGAGTGAAGAAATGTACATGCTGTGACATGCCACCGGCGGCGAGAGGTTATGATTGGCAAATGCCTGGCTCAGCTCGAGAGTCTGACCATTTGTTCATCAGGACGTAGGCAGACGGCCACAGACGAGACGCGGGACGTGCCGATCACCCTGACAAATATCGACAGAGGTACCCAACCGGACACTGAGGCGACAACAGACAGCGACATGGACAACTGGCTACTACTTGACACGCGGGACAAGGAGTATGGCATCTGTCGGCGGTGCAACCGCCACTCCACCGACAGAGGCACCACGGACCCGTGGTCTGATCTAGGTGTTCTCCTGGACGGCCGAAAAAACCAGCGGCTGGCAAAGCATGTGGCCTCGAATCGACACTGACTCTCTGTGACGGCAGAGCGGACACGCAGGGCGGGACCCCTCCCCAGGCTGGTGCAGCGGCAAAGTGAGGAGCGTCGCGAAGCCACTGAAAAAACCTAACCATCGCATACGACATGATTACCCGTCGTCATACGTATGCCGAGTTTGAACGCGAACGCCTTCTTCTGAATGCCTTGGAGGTCAAAGTTGGCAATCAGCATCAAACTCACCTAACCGCTGCCCAGTCTGTGGACGTGATTTATGACGTTTTCAAAGACGAGCTGAAGCAACACATCAAGACGCCAAACCCTGTGAGTGGACGTGCCCGGCACATGCACTTGTCCATGGACAAGGTCACAGTGACTGGCGTGACGCTACAGGCTGTGAACTTGCGACTTCCTGACACCGACGCCAACACTGTGGTAGTTCACGGGACGACCGCAGTGGTGAGACCGTATCCTGACCCCGTTCCCATCTACACAGCCACCCTCCCGCCGCGGCAGTGTGATGCAGTCACTGGATGCAACGAGACCAACGGGCGGGGTGTGCTCGCTCACATTACTGACTACCTTAACAACGACTTGGGACTGGCAGTGGACAAGATTGGGCGTCAAGTCCTCTCTGCTTCTTCGGACTCTGAGGCCGTGTACTCGGGACCAGTCAGTGGCTTCGGTGCATCTGGTGAGAGCTGCATGGAAATCCATCGTTCATGCACCTCAGTGACCGGCCGCACCGGCTGGAGTCTCTCTTGGACAAAATTAAGCACCATCAGACATGTGCGTGGGTGAGCGATTTTTTCCAGCAACCAAATTCGATTATAACCGTGTTCACGGCTTCGCCAAAACTGAAAACGACAAACTGGGCGGACAGCTGAAGACTTGGACCTGCTATGCGTGGTCTTTCAGCGCCTTATTGAGACGCGATTCGTGGCGCACTTGGGAGAGGCCATTGAACGTATTTGGACGAGCCGTGATGTGGCCGCGGTGTGGCCGATGTGGCCGCGATGTTGTCGCGGTGTGGCCGATGTGGCCGCAGCAATGCTCAAGGATGGCATTGCGAGTGGTGACATCGACAAAAACAATGCCAAATCAGCCCTAAATTCCCTTCGGGACGCCAGGTTCCTTTCCAATGCACTGGCAGTGCTCGACATCATGCGCCCCGCCGTCACGCTTGGTAAAGCTGGCCAGGCCGCGACATGCACGGTGTTTGACGACGAGGTGGCCGTGCATCGGTTCCGATAGGACATGGCGAAGCTGACTGACGCTGACTTCCAGGGTCGTCTGGAGGAGGACGGACCTGCGGTCGTCAGCGGTGCTTTGAGTGGCGGTCCAGCACAGGTGAGTCGCAGGCAACTCTCTGACACACACCCACCTGACGCGTCCACCGACGTCCTACGGGAAGTGACTTACCGACGGCGTGAGGTTGCGCGGACACTCCTTGCACTCCCAGACCTTGAGAAGTATCGAGGACAAACCGACGTCGAGGGACTCATGACCGATATCTTGGACATCGCGCGCTATCCGACCAACAAAACGGACCTAGAGACTTACGCTAACGACACGCTAGTCGACCTCGTGACTCGACTGTGGGGCGGACCCCTGACTCTCCCGAGGCCGTGCAGTGCCACGTGCCTGGGATCGGGGTGTGCGTGCCTCCTGTGGCAGTTCAGAGAGTTCAAGCGTAGAGTGGTGGCGGGGCGAGAGCGGTTCGGAGACGAGTGGCTGCCCACACGCAGCGGTGTCGTCCGCTGGCTGCCGGAGGCGGCGCTTCGATCATTTATGCGACCTGAGACAGGTCTGCACGCAAATGTTCCGGATATCGCCGAGTTAGTTGAAGTATGTCTAGTGCCCAGCCGGCCTCAGACTGACACTGAAAGGGTTGGTAAAGCGTCAAAATTTGTTGTAGAGGGCCGCGTTGGGGGAAAGCACGATGGCTTGGGGAGCAACGACCAGGATCACGCCATGAAGGAAATCTTCAAAAGGGAGGACCAGGTCCCCCTCCGCTTCTTCCCGGTAAAGAGGCGCACGGATCGGCGGCTCAGCCGGCACCGGCACACCCTAAAAGAGAAGCCTACTGAATATGCAATGTAATTTATGAATGGACCTTTGAAGTGAAGCCGTATTCCAATTAGCTTGGGTCTCTCTGAAAATATCTTGCAATTTGACCAGGAACACATTTTCTTTGACTTTCTGCACTGGGCTGACATCATGTGCAACGTCCCACACTAAATCTTCCCATAATTTGAGACTGGTTAATGGACCGGGAGTGTGACGAAATGGGGACCTACAGGCCTAGTGATCTTTATAATTCCCGATCACCATAACGTGAGGTAGGATATATATATATATATATATATATATATATATATATATATATATATATATTTGGCATAACCACGGCATTTAGTGTGGCATAATGAAAGTTGATGCATGACTTGAATGGTGGTGATCAGGAGTACTGGGTGTGTCTCTGGTGTATTAGTACAATTGTAACATGTTAAGTTCATTTTCCAGATGCCTGACAGCCAGATCATTCCTGCGCCGGCTGATCAGGATCAACCTGTGTTGAAGAGGGGGAGGGATGGTGATGACAGTGATCAGCAGAAGCAAGAAATACAAAAAGATCAAGGTAGGGTATCACGTTATAACTTTCCATCAATGCTGAATCTATCTATCATTTATGTCATTCATGTCTCTGGTGTATTAGTACAATTGTGATATGTTTAGTTCATTTTCCAGATGCCCAAACAGCCAGATCATCCCTGCTCCTGCTGATAAGGATCAACCAGTGTTGAAGAGGGGGAGGGATGGTGATGGCAATGATCAGCAGAAGCAAGAATACAAAAAGATCAAGGTAGGGTTATCACGTTATAACTTTCCATCAATGCTGGATCTATCTATCAATCATTTTCAACCTTGCAAGCTTTACTGCAGATCATCGTAATTGTTGGTTCCCTATTTGACCTGTCCTTCTGTCTTCAGCGGTGCTCGGGCGGCGCCCGCCGGGTGCCCGCCGCCGCCGCCGCTGCCACCGCGGGATGCCGCCTCGACTCTGCCATCCCGCTGCCGTCGCCGGCCAGCCAGTCGGCGCCGGACGCGTTCAGCTGGGACAGCCTGATGCGTGACCCGACGTTCACGGCCGCGGCCCGTCTGCTGCTTCGGACACGCGCCGCTGAACGCCACCTGGCGAGCCGTGGGCGCCGGGCTGCGCGTGGAGGTGGCCGAGCGGCCGGCCGGCCACGGCGCGCCCGCCACCTACTGGCCGGCGGCCGTGCTGCAGGTGCAGGGGCTACCGCGGCCTGGTGCGCTTTCGAGGGCATGGGCAACGACGCCAGCCGGGACCGCTGGGTGGATCTCTGCTCGGAGGAGGTGAAGCCGGTGGGCTGGTGCGCCGCGCACGGCCTGCCGCTGACGCCGCCGGCCGCCGCCCGGCCGCGCGCCGACTGGCAGCGCTTGCTGGTGCAGCGGCTCATGGCACTCGCACACTGCCCGACGGCTTCCACCGGAAGGTCAGTATTGTCCACTGTAGGGCACACTGCCCACGGCTTCCACCGGAAGGTCAGTATTGTCCACTACAGGGCACACTGCCCGACAGCGCCCACCGGAAAATTAGTGTTGTCCATTGTAGGGCACTGTCCCGCTGCTTACACCGGAAGGTCAGTATTGCCCGCTGTAGGGCACACTGCCCACGGCTTCCACCGGAAGGTCAGTGTTGTCCACTGTAGGGCACACTGTCCCACGGCTTCCACCGGAAGACCGGTATTGTCCACTGAGGCGCTCTGCCGTGCGGTGCAGCGGGCGACCGCGACTGTTGAGGCCCCGCTGCTCTGCGGCGCAGGTGGTGGCCGGCCTCAGCTCCCAGCTCGCGGTGGGTCAGACGGTGGAAGTGGTGGACAAGAGCTGCATCAGCCAGGTGCGCGCCGCCACCGTCAGCCGCGTGGTCGGCCGCCGCCTGCACGTGCACTACCTGGACGCGCCGGACGACGACGGCGGCTTCTGGTGTCACGAGAACTCGCCGCTGGTGAGTCGCGCGCCGCCCGCCGGTACGCGGCGCCTCGCCGGCTTGTGACGTCAGCGATGTGGGGCGTGTAGCCGGTAGCTGTGGTCAGGTGGTGGTGCGTTGAGCTTTGTTGACAGAGGGCTGTGTATTCGTCGCGAAGCTCAGGGAAATGGTGACTTACAAGTATGGGTGTTGGGCTCAGCTTGTATTCCGGTGCCTATGTCGCTGAAATCGGCCGTGCCAACTTGCAATACTTCTGCAGCTAGCGAGTGCTAAATATCCTCCAAACTGCTCCCGCTGTGGTTTTGTGCCAATCCGTGCCTAATCTCCCTTAATCTGGGTATGGGTGTGAGATTCGGGGGGAGAGAGATCGTAGAGAGCGGCCTGTCCCCGTCCCATGTAGCAGGCACGCCCGGGGGACGCGTCGGATGCTGGTGGGAGTGAGCGCTGCGTGATGTACCCCCCCCCCCCCCCTGCGCCAGGTGCACCCGGTGGGCTGGGCGCGCGCCGTCGGCCACCGGCTGTCGGCGCCAGACGACTACCTGGCGCGCTGCGAGACGGGCTCCTTCCTGCCACGGACGCTACGCAGGACTGCCTGCCGGCGCCGCCGCCCATCACGCACGAGGGCTTCAAGGTGCGCCGCTGGCGGGTAGAATGGTCTCGGACCGATTTTGTCGTCTCACTTTTTCTCCTCTCTGTCATTCTCGGACCGATTTTCTGTGGTGATATTGTTGCGCGCATCTCTGCGTGACCCCGCCGTCGCTCTGTTGGTGTCTGACCGGTGGGCGAGCCGCGTCCGTATCGTTGTGGCGTTCTTAGTCCGCCCCGTTGTGACTCAGTATGCGTGATGACTGGACCGCCCACCCCACCCGACTGCTGTCCCCAGGTGCGTATGAAGCTGGAGGCGCTGGACCCGCTGAACCTGGGCAGCATCGGCGTGGCCCACCGTCATGCAGGTGCTGGGCAACCACTTCCTGATGGTGCGGCTGGAGTCGCTGCCGCCGGAGCCGGGGCGCGCCGACGCCGACTGGTTCTGCTACCACGCCAGCTCGCCGTACATCTTCCCGCCGGGGTTCTGCCGGACCGTGGGCGTGGCGCTGACGCCGCCGCACGGCCACGCGGCCGACACCTTCAGCTGGAGGCGTACCTGGCATCGCAGGCCGGGCGCGCAGGCGGCGCCGGCGCGGCTCTTCCAGCGACCGCCGCTCTCGCACGGCTTTCAGCCGGGCCAGCGGCTGGAGGCAGTGGATCTCATGGACCCGCAGCTGGTGTGCGTGGCGACCGTGGCGGCCGTGGTCGGGCGCCTGCTGCGCATCCACTTCGACGGCTGGGAGGAGCGGTTCGACCAGTGGGTGGACGCGTCCAGTCCGGACATCTTCCCGGTCGGCTGGTTGCCGGCTGGTGGGGCACCAAGCTGGAGCCGCCGAGGCCCCAGCGAGCGGCCGACGCCGCGCCGCGCCGTCCCGCCGACGGCCCCGCTCGTCGGCAGGGCCGGCCGCGGCCCCGGCTAGCCAAGAGCCTGGGCCGTGCTCTAGCCGCCGGCGACTCCCCATCGGCCGGTGATTGCCCCATCGGTCGGTACGCCCCCCGCCGCCGGTGACGCCGCCAGGGACGCTCCATCCGCCCGGATGACGCCCCTGCCGCCGGTTACGCCCCTGCCGCCGGTGACGCTCCGGCCGCCGGTGACGCTCCGGCCGCCGGTGACGCTCCGGCCGCCGGCGACGCTCCAGTCGGTGGCGGTCCGGCGCTGGCTCGGCCGGCCGGCGTGGTGCGCTCGCCGGCGTCCCGAAGCTCCGGAAGCGCCAGCTACGGTCGACGACGCGCTGGCTTGCGCAGATGGCGATGAGGTGGCGGCAGCGGAGATGGTTCTGTCGACCTCGCCGGACCGGCGCCCTCCGCCGCAGGAGGAGGAGGACGGATGTCCTCCGCCGACGGAGGAGGGGGACCGGCGTCCTTCGTCGCCGGAGAAGGACCGGCATCCGTCGCCGGAGGAGGAGGAGGAGGACCGGCGTCCCTCTCCGGAGGAGGGGGAGGAGGACCGACGTCCGCCAGAGAGGGGATGCTGTTGCTGCGTCCGGTGATCAGGCGGCTGAGGACGTGGGCGAGCCGCCGGCAGAGGCACAGACCTTTCCCGAAGAGGACCAGCTGGAGGTGGAAGCTGTTGTAAAGACGCGTGATTTACTTCGTGTGGGCCAGCCGGATCGGCGATGTGCCATCGATCTCGATGCCTGTGTTAAGGACTCGTCAGTGTCTTTTAAAGTTCTGTGACAGAGTCTCTGCCTGCTGGATGTGACCCCAGGGCCAAACAACCACCTGTTTTCTTGCACGCTGACGCGGAAAGGAACTGCCGAAACCCGGCCGTGCCATGGGAGGTCAGTGGTCCGTGACCTCGTGACCGTGATGACAGGGATGCCGGTACCGTGTGCAGCCTCACTTTGGTCTGATGTCTGGGCTACACCTACTCCGCGTCTTGCATGGGTCATGACTGACGTCTTGCATAGGATGTTGACCCATTCCCTTGAGCTTTGCCGTGCCTTACAAGAAATAAACGTTTCACTCAATATTTAAGTCGGCATTATCATGCCACTACAGTCAGTAAGTAATCCAAGGCTCTATGGTGTCATTAGCAGGCCTCCCGGTCCATTTCGGGACGGCGTTCTCTTGGTCGGAAGGCGGGAGCCGCGAGTAGGTATACGGCCGGCCCGCTGCACCGGCGGCGGCGGCTGCGGGTATGTCACGTGTCGGTGCGAGAAAGACGTGATTCGAACTCCTGTTTATATGGCGTGCGATCGATGCAGCTTTCGTTGAACCCCGGAGAGACTCGCAGATGGAATACAATGAGCGAAATACCTCGCCCAGAAAGCGCAAACTCGTTCGCTAGGTAGCTAGCGGTTTCTGAAAGAATGTTATACGTCACGCAAATCGGGTCAATTGGCCGAACCCTGAACTATGAGAAAACATAGAGCTGCAAGATCCCCGCCAAAATCAAGCACAAAACCCGAGGCTAAAACTCGCACAACCATTTGTCCTGGTGGGGGGTCACACAATGCACATCCACTGCATCCCAGCATGGCATAATCGGAAGCCCTGAAAAGCATCCTCGTCCAAGTCGCCCGGACAAGGATCGCGGTCGGCCCGCGGCCCGCCTGCTCAGCTGACGTTCTCCAGCCGGCGAGGCCAGACGACTGGCTCGATCTTCTTCGCGGGCTTCCTCGCGGCCGCTGCCGCCCCCGCCCGCCTCGTGACCCTGGCCGACCAGCGGTCGTCGCTGTCCTCCGTCTCCCTGCTCCCCGCTGACTGCGCGCCCTCACGCTCTGCCGGGGCTCGCTCGCGCTGCTGAGCCGGCTGCGCGTCGTCGGCTCTCGTGCTGTAGCGGGTCATGTCCCTGCTGGCGATGTGGTGCTGGTGGTGCCTCCCGCTGGCAGGCGTGGTCCCCGGCCGCGGGCGTGCTGGGCTGGTCATGCTCAGACGAGTTGGATGGTAGTGGGGCGTCGGAAAAATATGAAGAACAGGCGATGCTTCTGTGGTGGCGCGAGTGTTTGCTGGCTTTTCTGCAAGTGTAACGTTGAATTAGCAGGATTGTCCTCGACCTTAGTTAGCTGCACGGTTGGCTTACGAGTCACAAGTGCATTGCTACAAACATAAATTATTATACATATACATCATTATTATTATACATAATTATTATAGTGAATGAATTATTACATTATTATACATAAATTATTATTGTTTCATATAAATCATTATAAACATTAACTATTACAAACAATGTGAGCCATCTTTCATCGGAACCGTGCTTTCCCACAACTTGCCGTGCAAATTGCACCTGAGTACATGGCTGATTATATTATATATACATAATATTACTCAACATCATCGTCATCATCACATATCATCATTAGCACTATCACATCGTCTTCAAATGCGAAGCCATTTCTCAGCATTGAAACAGTTCTGTAACCCGACCAGATATGTTTCTTAAGAAGCATTAGGGACGCAGATCAAAGGCCTGGGTCCA